TACGTTTCTAATAAACTCTCGTGTAACATTTGAAAGTGCCTATCATCTTTTGTAAACAAAACTTGTAAAGCCCTTTTCGCGCGTTCCGTAGTACACCCTCGCAAACCAACAACTCCATCGGGTAGAGGAGAATTTCCGGGAATGTATTTTCTTCTTCTTCATTTAATGGGTAGTTCGAGCTTCCCTCGAAAATGCTTACATTATAATCTTTATTGGGTATTTTGGGGTTACCATGTAGAAACAGCAGCAGCTTTATTAGTATTTATCTTTTTAACTGCAATATGTGTGCAAGCAGTACAAGCGAATATAAAAAGTGAACCAAAAATGCGCGTATTAAGGAGAAAGTGACCTAGTGAGTAAATACAAATTTCAAAAATGGTTTTCTCTGAAACACAACTAAAGGGTGATACGGTCAAAATTTGGTCAAGGGAAAACGCGTGTAAATCGGTGAAATCGTTTATTTAAAAAATCAAATTAAATTTCTTTTTCAAGTTCAATTAGTATAAAATTCAGGAAAAATATTCAGTTAGGCTTCCGCTTTTCCAAATCCGAATTGCCGGGCCTTACGCTTGACCCCTGCCATCAGATTTTGTACAGCCACCTTGTCCACCTTCTTCGCCGCAGAAAGCCAGTTTGCCTTGAACTGCTGCTCGCCCTTAGCAGTTTTTTTGGTCTTCTTTAGGTTCCGCTTGACAATAGCCCAGTATTTCTCAATTGGGCGGAGCTCTGGCGTGTTGGGAGGGTTCTTGTCCTTGGGAACCACCTGCACGTTGTTGGCGGCGTACCACTCCATGGCCTTTTTACCGTAATGGCAAGATGCCAAATCCGGTCAAAACAGTACGGAACAACCGTGTTTCTTCAGGAAAGGCAGCAGACGTTTATTCAAACACTCTTTCACGTAAATTTCTTGGTTGACAGTCCCGGAAACTATGAAAATGCTGCTTTTCAAGCCACAGGTACAGATGGCTTGCTAAACCAGATATTTCTTTGCGAACTTTGACAGTTTCATGTGCTTGAAAACATCTGCTACCTTTCCCCTTCCTTTTGCCGTATAAAACTCTTGTCCCGGAAGCTGCTTGTAGTCGGCTTTGACGTAGGTTTCGTCGTCCATTACCACGCAGTCAAACTTCGTCAGCATCGTCGTGTACAGCTTCCGGGATCGCGCTTTGGCCGTCGTATTTTGTTTATCATCGCGATTTGGAGTCACTACCTTCTTGTAAGTCGATAGCCCGGCTCGTTTTTTGGCTCGATGCACGGTTGTAGACGATACACCCAGCTTATTTGCGGCATCTCGGAGAGAGAGGTTAAGGTTTCGCTTGAAACTACCGGCAACTCTCTTTGTCGTCTCAGCGGCTTCCGGTTTTCGATTTCCCCCCGATCCAGACTTCCTGGCTGTCGACAAACGTTCCCCAAACACTTTAATTACATTTGTAACGGTTGATTTGGCAACTTTTAGCGATTTTGCCAACTTTGCGTGCGAGTAGCTCGGATTTTCGCGATGCGCGAGCAAAATTTTGATACGCTGCTCTTCTTGCTTGGACGGCATTTTGACAACTGAAGAGTGAATTCCAAAATCAAAATAGGAGCAACATTCTACACACACACACCTTCAAAATGAGGGGTGTTCAGGTTTTTTAAATGCAAAATTGAAAGAAATACGTCAAGTTGATATTGACCAAATTTTGACCGTATCACCCTTTAGAGATTGGAAAAAGCTCCCGTCATTTTATGTGGAATAATAAAAGGAAACCTTTGATGAGAGTTTTTTGCAATCTAAAGTAATGTGTCAGAGAAAATTGTTTTCGATTTTTTTTTATTTTCTCACTAGGTCATTTTCATCTTAAGGAAAATTAGCACATCGTGCAACAATGGCTGTTCTCACAGTCATTATATAAATGTGTAAACTTCGAAAAAAAAATAGTTAATACCTTAAAAGATGGATCAATAATGTATGAATGTTGGATTCATATGTTAACACTTTCCACTCATAATTTTGCCAATTCATTAATTTGCAATAAAATTTATATTTTTTCTTCACTTCTCGGAATGTGTCAATGTCAATTTTGCCTGCTAAGAGTCACAATCACCGATTTTGTGATCCCTGAGTTTGTGAGTGAATGAATGAAAATTGATAAAATCACTGATTGCGACTCTCAGGAAGCAACATTGATCGGTTTTACGAGTCAATCGCCTACTTTGCAACCTCTCCTTGTATCTTAGATGTAAACAAAATATGATCATAACATCTAATGGTATCATAATTCCGATTTTTTTTATCTGGAATGAGAAGTTGTAGCCTTGCTTAAAACTACTTAATGAAATACGGATCAAAATATCATACAGCAATGTGATGATTTTTTTTTTTTAAGAAACTCAGTGTACAACTTCACGTCAATGATCAAGTTCACCCCGTTTTACGATACACGCTTGATGTTCAACAATTTTGATTTGTGGAGTCATGTTGAACTTTTACAAATCTTTTTCAATCTATCATCTTTGGATCAACAATAGAAAAGGGCCCATCAGCATTTGTAAACAAATCGTTCCAAAGCCCATTCCTCACAAATTGAAGGCCGCCCACACAAACCACCATCATCATCGTTTGGTAGAAATTTTCTCTATCCGATGATGGTGTTGGTTTGCGTGGGTAGCCTTCGCTTTGTGAATAAAGGGCTGATTCTTATCTTGTTTGGCCCTCCTGGGGCTTTACGCAGGCCTTCTACATGCACTTAGTGTTCTACATGCACTTCCATAGTTGTTAATTGAGAGCTTTCTAAGCCGGTATTATTTTTGCATTAGAATAATTGTGTGGCAAGTACAATCATACTCTATGCCCAGGGAAGTTGATAAATTTTTCAACCCGGAAAAATTCTCGGGAACCGAACCCAGCCACCTTCAGCAAGGTCTTGCTTTATAACTGCGCCTTTACCGACTGAGCTAAGGGAAGCCTATAATTTAACGCAATTGTTGAGGTTGAATTAGGATGCAACAAAATGCTGCGTGAACTTCATATTCAGCCTGTTGTTAATCAGCTTTCTACGCCTTCAATCAGCCTCGGTTCTTACTCTTAAGCCTGCAATATTACTTGGGTCGTGTCTTGTCCGGGGACGAGATTTGATCTTAAGCCAATTTAAAATACCAATAATAAAGCCATTTTGGTTTCAATTAAACAATATTAAATATGATTTTTTTTCTAAGATAATATATGTATTTACCCAAGAACCCAATTCTTGGGTAGATGAGGGTAAGACACTTCATTAACTAAATTAATCCTAAATGAACTTAAATCTACCTAACCTAAATGAACTAATCAAATCCTATAGCTAAACTTAAAGTTGAAACTAAATTCTATAAATTGAAGCCAATCTAAAGCTATAACGGTATCATCCTAATCTAACTTATAAGAAAAGAGAGAAGGAAGCTGTTTGCATGCGCTACACACTGATGCCGACTTGTAGTGGTAAATACGTACATTGTTCATAGGTAGGATAGACGAGAACATTGTAAATAGAGATATTACGAAATATATCGACGGAGCGTGTAGATAACCCATAACCCATATTATATTTATACTTTGGTCGTACAACAGAAAGTAAACGGAACAGAGTTGAAACCTTCCAGTGATTAAGTGTATAAAAGGGACTTTCTGTGTCGATGTCCGAAAGTGTAGTGCAATTGCAATTACGAAGTTGCATGCCAGTGCACAGAAGGAAATTTTCCCGAGTGTACATCAAGCGCAGTTTAATGTGATGCATTAATACCTTTTTTTTTGAAGATCTGTTAAGGAACATAACTAGTTTAATGTATGAACTAGCAATACTGCATGATAAATCCACGAAAGTATATTGAAAATGTATTCAACACTTGCCCATTATACTACATGTTCTGTCTTTTCAGAATATAAATTCATTACTAACTTAGGGCCTGTTCATAAACTACGTAGACAGTTTTTTGGGATTCTTGATCCCCCCCTCCCCCTGCGTAGACAATTGTACATACAAAAAATTTAAAATTTGTATGGGCCGTGGATAATTGTCACCCCCCCCCCTCTAAACTGTCTACGTAGTTTATGAACAGCCCCTTATTATTGCTAACTTATTTGCACAGTTCCTAGGGCGTCTGCCATCAGTTTTCTGGTACGCAAATAACGGTCTACTCTTATTTCTTTCCCACTTCTAGTCATGTCTACCAGATGTCCTGTCAGTATCAAAAGCCGATTCGATAGAACTTGCCACTGTTTTCTCACCATCCACTATCTCACCAGGATATTTTTCTCACCCACCTCACCCGACAGTGGAACCACAGAGATCCTTGAGAGCGAGAGTCGCTTTCCCAGAAAATAAAATATGGCCGCCAGTGATTTATGGCTTTCAATAAAACCTACTTTCCCACTGCACAGGACCACTCAATATTTTCCATGGCAACTCAGCGATGGGTTTTCTCTCGCCGCTCGCTCTTATTAAGAGCGGGGGTTGATTTTTCACTCACGGCAGCTATGGACGAGTTGGGTTGGGTTGTGTTTGTGTCGCGTAAAATCGATCGGTTGTGGATGTGTTTGTACGTCAGAATTTTCTCTCGGGAATGTGGCCGTATGATTAATGCATATTGCTCTGCTTTTCTATCGCCGAATCACCGAATGTGAGGGTGTGTTAGTGTGGGGGTTGCGTACGACCTATTCCGCTCGTTGATAACCCACATTGTAAACGGTGCGGTTGTACGATGGGTGAAGTGAGAGTATAGCTCCGATTGATGGTCGGCCGCTGGGGTTACTTACTACTATCAGTGACATATTACGGATGCATTTGGCGAGTGCGTTCCGTGTTCAGTGGCAGTGAATTTAAATCGTCGTGGACCATTTGGTGATTTCTTCACAACAATGAATCAAACTAGGTGAAAAGAACACCTATCGATGCTGTCTACGGTGAGTATAATCGTTTTCCATCAAGTTGGTTGTGAATTGGAGTTCATATGGTGGTCAAACATTGAAAGTACGATTCTAGGCGCTCTCGACCGTAATGAATTTTGCATTTTCATTCAAAAACTCATACACCTTGGTCGAACATGCGTATACACCCACTTTTGGGTAAAAGTTTTCTAATGAGAATGGAGAGATGGTGGCAACCGCAGGAGTAAAAGGATAACAGACGCACGCCTTCGGGTCGATTTCCAGTGAGGGGTGTTGTGAGAGTGAGTACCGGTGAGTGCTATCAAATCGCACCCTAATCAACGCCATTCGAAGGAGAACTGTTCTCAGTTGTACGCTAGACGGAGCTGTTTCATAACCTTTTTCCTAAACGGGCTGCAGAGTGGACCACTCTATCCTACAGAAACGGTGAATCTCCAAAAGGGAAGAAGGGAAGATGTTCTTACCATCCTGACCCTAGTGAGTGAAAGAGAGTGGTTGAAGTTGAAGCTGAAGCCTTTGTTGGGGACCTTTTTGGGGTTCGAAAATTGAAGTAAACTATAAAATTGTGCTCAAAATGTAGTCCTACGTGTGAAAGTGATTCGTTGAAATCATCCGACGTGCTGAAAGTCCAGTGAAAACACAGTTTTTGCTGTGGATACTTTGGTGGAAAAGAGCAAACTGTTTGTGTACTAATTTATCGATTTTTTCTGTGCAAGAAAATCCAACCGATGAGTAGAAGTAGCCGTGACGGTAGAAGATTGGTTGAGTTGAACGCCGAACCATCGGGGAAGCAAACCTAATAAGTTTCGGTTGGCAAGCGGAAAAGTTTGCAGATCTTTCATTCCGTAGCAGAAAAAAAACCAAAGGTGAGAAAACGGTTTACCGCCCCTCGCAACTCCCCGCGCTGGAATTTACCCACAACGTCCGTCAGGATATAAATGTATAATTAGATTACACTTTTTCCTCCCTGTCGGAACGAGACGTTCAGAAATTTTATTCAATGAAAAGTGCTTCGTTCGCCGCTCATGAGCAGTGGGAGTAACTCGCTCTCGCACTCTTGTGGCTCACCGTTCTAGGAATGCACACCTCACCAAGGTGAATTTAGTATATGGTTGATCTCACGCGCGGCTGATTGTACAGAATGTACATGCTGATGTAGTGGAAAATTTTACTATTGCGATCAAGCATTTTCTTCATATCAGCCGCCAAAAAATAGTAAACCGAGAGGTCGGAATGGCCAGTTAAAAAAAAACAATCCTACGATTGTGTGATGGAAGCAGACCATTAGCGTAAAAGAGCGATTCCACCCTCCTTCTACTCCTCGTCATCATCATTATTCAACCTGTTCACGGAGGGGCAGTGGGAAATTTGTGTGTTTTGCTTGTTTGGTCTTTCCGTCTCATCCCCTCGATTCTGTTTTAATGCGCTCATTTCGAAGGGGGGGAATTTATAGGAGGAACACTGAAGTCATTCCGCAGACTACAGTGAGGAAGGACAATAATAACGATCGAGGACAGGCAGCCGTGACGACGATTTTGATGTGAGAGAGAGAGACGGAGAAGGAAAGGACACACGACCCAAACTCATTAAAATTATTGGGGAAAATTATTCGCCTATGCCTTTTCCGGCACCAGAAATAGAACTGATGATGATGATGATGGTGGTGTGATGGCTTTGCGTGGCCTCTGCTGTGAGGCTTATGATGCTGATTGTGCTGCCCGCGAGAAGAGTAGTGTTAGGGAAAAATATTGCTCAGTGGATTAGTGGTGGCTTTTCTTTTTTTTTTCTCCGTGTTCGATTTGCGTTTGCCTATAAAGATGCGGGGGGCGTTTGGGGGTGTATTTTGAGCATATCTTGGTGAACTTTCTTGGTCTGGGGGGTATGAAATACGGGCAGTTTGTCGTGGTGATGATGTGATGTGTATGCATAATTAACTCTAAATGAATGCAATGGATCGTTAATGATCGTCTGTTGGATGTGTTTGTGGTTGGATATTAAATTTGTTTGGATTATTAGAATTAAAACTGTTGATCATTTGGTACTAAATAGTGTGGAAGAAAATGTATTTCATTTATGTTCATCAAATAAGACGATTATAACTTCACTTTTATTTGGAAAACCCAAGTGACCTCTATATAGGATTGGAATGTATTCAGATGCTTGTGTAGTCATTCTGGAATGTTTGAATGTAGTTAATGTAATTATGCTACCAATTTATCGACAAGTTCCACAAGAATCGCTAAAGAAATTTGATAAACAATTAAAACAAAAAACAGAATTATCAATGGATTGCTGTACCTATTTCAGCTGTTCCATTTACACTCGCTCACTACTTGTTAGGTTAATTTAGATAACCTTTCACACAATCAACAATAGAAACTGCCGTTAACTCTATTAACATTAACATTAACATTAACGAACAAATTTAATAATTCAGAAAGCCCATTTGAAAAGACAGCTTACCTTTTGCACGAGAATTTCTTTTTACCCTTCTTACAAAGAAGGGTATAGATATCACTTGAAAAACCGATTATCGATCCGAGGCCCGGAGGGCCGAGTGTCATATACCATTCGACTCAGCTCGACGAGATCGGAACATGTCTGTGTGTGTGTGTGTACGTGTGTATGTGTGTATGTGTGTGTGTGTATGTAACGAAATGAATGCGCTCACGTTTCTCAGCAACCGCTCAACAGATTTGGACAAACTCGACGCCAAATGATAGGTCTTGGCGTCCCATTGAACGCTATTGAACGGTTTTGGAATCGGTGAACCGGTTCCGGAGATATGGCCGGAATAAGATCCGGTGAATATGGGCCTTCACGCTGGATTTAACGGAAAACGTATCAAAACCATCATGCGACACATCAAATTACTACAGAATTCAAAAATAAGATCAATGCAAGTCGTGTTAAGTGTTCCAGACCACATTGGACACACTTGGACATGTTCCGGGTACCCCGGGGAAGTTGCTTGAATATGAATTGAATTAAAACCCATTAAATCACATTAAAATACGATGATAAGGTGATTGGTAGCCTCACCAAATAGACTACACCCGGATATATTCCGGGTACCCCCAGGCAGTGGCGTAGCGTCACTGGATGACACGGGGGTGGGGGGCTTGGTCACTGATAATGACAATAAAATAAATAAACTTGAATAAGTAAGAAGGGTCTGATCACACCATAGGTGGATAAATTCGGGTTTTTTCATTGTTATTAATTGAATTTGTTTTCAAAATTTGATATCTCACAATCCTCAGTCCAAGAATGTTTTTTTTTCGTTGGAACTCTTCACAGATTTTCTTTGATGTATTGCTCTGGAATTACCTACAAAGTGTCTCGATAACGCTTCATTTTTTTTAGCTCAGTCGGTAAAAGCGCACCTATAAAGCAAGACCATGTTGGAGATTCCCGGTCTAGGAAGTTTTCGGGTTAACATCTTTTTTAGACTTCCTGGGCATAGAGTATGATTGTCTGATAATTCTCCTGTAAAATGCTTTGACTTCTGCTCAAAGCTCCGTTGGAATTATTCTCAAAACCTCTTATGAATTTTTCTCAAAATTCTTGTAAGAATTCTCCTTGGAGTTATCTTTAGAACTCTCCCCATAATTCCCATTAATTTCTCCTCCATAGCTCTTAGTCATGGCTACTCATAGCTTCTGCTACTCTTCCCTAAGATTTTTTCTAAGTAATCTCCACAGTATTCCAGTCATAAAATTGATCATCGCCTTAGAATTCTCTTCAATTAATCTTCAGATTCACATTCTCTTGTGATTATTATAATAATCCTCTTGGAGTTAATCGAAACTGACTGTTGGAATTCTCTGGATTTCTCTTTACCATTCGCATGGAATTCTCCTCAAAATTACCATATAATTCAACTCATCACTCCCTTGGAATTCTCGATAGCATTTGCCTTAAGATTTTCCTCGCAAAGTCTACGAAACTAATTTTAGAATTACCTTGTAGTTCTCTTCTGAATAGTTTAAGATTACTTTCCATAATTATCCAGAAGCTCTCTCCAGAATATCTTTGAAGTTATGTCAATTTATCATAGAAATTCTCTTTAAAATTATTCCTGAAAGTTTTTTACTAGTTCGTTTATTTACTAGGCTCAGTCGTGTGTGACACTTTGCGGAGCCAAAATCAGTAATGTTTGAATTTACATTTTAAATAGCAGTAGTTCTAGGTTAGTATTGGGTACCAATTACTCGTGACGGGCTCGAGGTTAATGGGCAACAATTTCGATTGGAAGGAGCTAGGTAGGAAACTGCTTTCTGAAGCCTCCTTCAGATACTACTCTCGGACGGTTGACCAAATCCTGGCTGGGCAGGGGCAAGTAGCACAGGAACAGGAGGATAATAAGACTGGGACACAACGGCTGGACATTGTTTGGAAAGGAGGGGATGGTCACATCAAACTCTAACATCAGACAAACAAAGGAATTCGTAGATCGCTTGCATGTAGGGAAGATCACGTGTTCCCAATACATCTCTTACTTCACGGAAGGGTTGTCTACCTCGGGCCACTAGGGTATCCAATAGTCGTGCTCTGGAGGCGTCATTACCCGGGCAATACCAAACTGCGTGATCGATGTCATCATAACCGGTTCTGCACCTACATATATTGCTGTCAACGAGGTTTATTCTATAGAGATGTGCGTCTAGTGAGTAGTGGTTGGACATAAGTCTTGACATCACTCGAATGAATCCCCGACTTACATCCAGACCTTTGAATCGCCCAAGAGAATTACTTGTCCAATCGTTTTGCCAACTTAAAAGAGAACTCTGACGTACTAATGGGAAAAATTCATCATGTGAAATTCTTCTATTATAAATCTCGCCTTGTTGTGCGCCCACCTTTGTGAGAGAGTTTGCCTTCTCATTAGCTGGGATTGAGCAATGTGAGGGGACCCATACAAAGGTAAGCATATATGATCTTTCGACCAGCAACCTCATCTGCTCCCTTACCTTTGAAAGGAAATAAGATGAGTGCCTACCTTGTTTCATCGACCGAATAGCCTCAATCGAACTGAGACTATCCGAGAAGATGAAGTAATGGTCTATCGGAAATCATCCCCAATGCGAAGTTGATTGCTGCTAGCTCAGCAACATAAACGAAACAAGGTTCCTGAAGTTTCCGAAAGGCGGTTGAGTATTCATTGAAGACGCCGAAGCCAGTGGATCCATCAATGCGTGATCCATCAGTGAAAAATCTTCTATTGCAATTGACTTGTTGGTACTTTTCAGTAAAAATGCGGGGAATTGAGATAGGTCGAAGTTGATCTGGAACTCCTTGAAAAGCCTGTTTCATGGAGAAATCATAGTCGATGGGAGAACTGTAGTTAGTAAAGCATACACGAGAGGGGTTATAGCAAGGAAGGCTAATATCCGATGACATATAATTAAGATAGATTCGCACGAATCTAGACTGGATGCTCAATTCGAGCATTTCTTCGAAGTTTTCAATCACAAGGTTGTTACTGACACTACATTTAATCAATATACTTAATGAGAGCTCCCAGAAACGGTTCTGCAGGGGTTTTACGCCCACTCTAGGCTCATATTGTGTGTTTAATGCACACAGCCAAGGGCAATACGTAAACAACGATATTGAATGCGTTCCAATTTAATTAGGTGGGTTTTTCTTGCCGAGAGGAAGCAAAAAGAGCCATACTCAAGAACTGAAAGAATAATCGTTTTATATAGTTTAATGAGTCTTCCGGGTGAGCACCCCACCATGTCCCGGAAATTGATCGTAGAAAGTTGATCCTTTGTTGACACTTTTGTTTCAAATACGTAATGTGGGTACCTCAAGTGCATTTTGAATCAAACCAGACTCCAAGGTATTTGAAGGTTAAAGA